AGAGGGCACTTATTTCAGTGGAAGCCTTCCTATGCTAATCATCAGCTGGGTAAGGCAAATTTTGTTGGGACCTTAAGTAAGGAAGCAAGTTATCAACTTTTTGTCCAAGTCTTGAGCAGCCCCTGACTGCAGCAGATGCTACAGAAACCTAGCATGGACCCAAAAAACATCAACAGTTAATAGGGCCACTGGCTCATAGCACCAGCTTTGATGATATGCTTAGGAACGTGGCAATTTTATCAAATCAGACATTTTCAGGCAAAGAAACTTTCTAGATCTATCCGAATTGGAGTTCTGCCTGGTTTATGCAGACAAACTAACTCGGCTAACTCGTGCCCTCCTATGGTATATTTAGAGAGATGGATTTTAAACAAAGAAAATGGTTATACAGAGCAGTAATCCCAACATTAACATTTTACAGGGGACTTTGTATGAACAAAAGCAACCATTACAGAACCTTCTACTCAGTCCATCCTACTTTTCTAAAGCTTGGGCAAGCTTTCACAGCTATTAATTGTCAGATGATGTCAACGGTCATGACGGATGACCAATACCATCCATGACTCATATGATCTACAGTTGAAGCCTTTAAAGTTCTCTTACATAACATCTTATTTGTCCGAGGTATCCAAAACCTCAATTTAAATGTTAGGATACTATTATTTTAGAATTACATCAAAAAATATCCTGGAGAAGATACCATACTTATTGTTAGTTGCTGGGTGGAAGAGCGTTTTTATTCTCATTTAATTTGCACACTGATTGCCACAAGGATTTTTGCAAAAGCTCTATTAAAAATTGTTCAAAATTCTAATGGTTATATCCTGATTTTTTAATCATTTTCCTGTCTTTCTCACTGTACTGCTTGTTTAAGACTTTTTCTTTTTACATGCATTTAATCTATTTTACTGCCATAGCATTTCTAGTAATTGTATCTCCAAATACAAATTTTGTATTATGTACTTTTCAGCATGTTTAAATTTTTACAAATATACTGCGGAATCAGCAATAAATGTCGGATTGTCGTGTAGTGTACTAGGAGGCCCATATTCAGTCAATGGTGAAATTCATGACAGACTTGGTATAGTCAATCTAACCTATTTCACTGGGATTTTTTAAATAAACCAGAGCATGGGTTGGAAGTATATAAAATGATACCTTGCAAATCCTTTTCTAACAAAGATCCTCACTCTCTGTCTTTAACATTTCTGGTGCTGATTTTAAATTGCAAATACATTTAAAACCAAAAGTGCTAATTAATCCCCAACAATTAACAATGCATATTTGGCATCTACGCAGAGCTGCATTTAAAAACAGCTGAAATATGTTATAATCAAGAGTGATACTTTTCACTGCTACAATGGGAATAATCATCACCACCTAAAGGCCAACTAGAAATTCAGTTCATTTATTTTTTATCATTTACAACCTTTTTACAGCCACAGAACAAACCAAAAAATAAACCTGGCTGTTGTTTTCAACTCATACTTGAGAGATCTGACAGAGGGGAGGCCAAGGGGAGAAAAAGAATGTGTTGACGCTTAATTAACAGAACATTTTAAACATTCAGTGAATCTTCACTGCACACTGAAATGGCACCATTTAAATGACCCCAGTTCACCATTTGGAGGTGAAGGGTGGCGAGATCCTGCCCACCAGGAAGACTGAATGAGTTACTGCTGCTCTGTATTCTGACTTTGATTTAAAGGCTGCTACTTCCTACAGCAGAAGCACCATCTGGCTGCTATTTGGCAATCTTATTTTGATGAGATAATTGCATAGAGGGACTAAGACAGGACTGTGGAAATCTGATTGACGGTGAAGATCTCGAGCGTTGGTGCCAGACACATCACCAAGAAATGGGTGGAGACAGTGGCAAATTCTGAAACGATTCGCTTCAAGGTGGATATTCCAAGAGTGGTGGGCTATTTAGATGAATACCGTGAACTTCTCAGTGAGGAAAAGAACTTTACAACGCCTGTTTAAAAACAATGTTGGAGTCTGGACTGTTTCAGCTCAGAACTCCAGTCAACCATGCTCACATCTAATAGTGCTGAAGCTTCAGTACAGGATCTTTCAGAAGCCGCTCATTCACAAAGTTGCCGTAAGTCCAAAAAAGTGACTTGGCAGCACATTAACAACAACGCAATGCTCACACCAAAGCTGGCTGGACAGCAATGAGAAGGAGCACCTGGATCAGGAGTTCGATTCCCACCTGTGCCTTGAAGAACCAACCCGTGTGGTCTACAGCAGTGGTTCTTAACCTTGGGTCACTCGGGTGTTTTTGAACTGCAACTCCCAGAAACCCCAGCCAGCACGGCTGGTGGTGAAGGCTTCTGGGAGTTGCAGTCCAAAAACACCTGCATAACCCAAGATTAAGAACCACTGGTCTGCAGGAAGCTGCACAATTCCAGGGTAACCTCGGAAGAAAGGAATGGGAAACCACTTCTGAGTACTCTCTACCTAGGAACCCCTCAACAGTGTTGCTGTAAGTTGAAATCAACTTAAAGGCATATAATTATCCCTATGCTCACAGCCACTTTATGCCATTTCTCTCTCTCTCACACACACACACACACACACATTGTGTCAGTTAGCATTACTCCCACTACAACTATTGAGTCCGCACTAGAATGCATTTATTTTTAAAGCAGGGAGTCCTCCCCCAAATGTTTCTCTTGAAGTACGTATTTGACGTACTATTTCTGTAGACCTTGTGGCCCCTGTTCCCCTTTCGTGGGCACATAGCACTGTTTCAGTTACATGAAGATCCACAATCATGGAACAAGCTTTCTCTTAGTATACATATTCTTCAGCAGGCAGAAGGCAGGGAAAGACTCTCTTCAATGCTCCAAGGTTCTTTAAGACTGCAGAGAAACCAGGACATAACCTGATTCCGCTGCACTGTACATTTTCTTTCATTCTAAAGAACTCAGTCTCTCCTGCAGCAACGAGTCCCGGTCCTTAAAAATATTCCAGACTCAGCAGCAGAAGGCCAGATTCAGTTGCTTTCCATGAACTAAGAGCACAGATGTCTGTCCTAAGCATCCTCAGCTTTTTCTTCCTCTACATTTTCTTTTCCTCTTTAACTAGCATTTCAAAGTTTTACAGCTGAGACAGAAATAACTATTCAGAACATAAACCTAGTTACACTAGTTGTCTTGTGCAGACCTAATGCACGCAATATATAACATATACAAAATATCAAACATAAATAGGCTAGTCTACCATTTATTTGAGAATTACTGCACTGCCATCCCATTTAGGACTCCGAGGTCTCAGCTTCAAAAGGCATCCTAAGCACTTCAGTTGCAGGGCTGGCAGTAGCTACATCCCTCACGAAACTACATGTTCCATGGGACACCATTAAGCCAATGGATTTGATGAAGACATGAAAACTATAGCACTAAAAAACTTAGTTGCCAAAATCCTGTTGCCTAGTTAATACTAGTGGGTGGAGAACAGCTTAACTTGAGTGGAAAGTTGCTGCTAATTCACAAGTTCCCCCCCCCCTTAGATTGCTCATTGAGTAACAGCCCAGTAGTCGGGTGTTTGAGTCAAAATCCATTTCTGCCATCGTTCCTCCGCCAGTTTAACTACACCAGGATTTTTTTTTGTTACTAACTGCAATATAGCATTTTACAATATGCTTATTCTGGACATACACAGAAACTACAGAAAGCCGCTATTTCTAAAGTAGTTTCCTTTTTTCCCCTCTTTCTAATATTCTGACTGGACCAGAGCTGCTATAAGGTAACCCTAAAAACAAAGCTGATATGTTCTATAAATATCTTATGACCACACGCTGTACTATATTTAAACAGATATAAGAAACGATCTTGAACCGCAATCATAGCCTCTTGGAAGTCTGATTGTGAACCTTAACAACAATATTTCTTGTGGCATATAGGTGGCTACTCTAGTCTCCATGTTTACAAACTGAAGAAAACATTCAGAGAAAGAAATCAACAGATTCTGGGCTTGCAATCAAGTGCCATAATCGAAAAATATAATTCATATGTATGGGAAGAAATCCTACATATATCAACCGGTATTTATTGTGTAGATGAGACCTGGTCCCTTTTTTCACATGAAATAAGCAAAAATCTTTCCCACAGAAAACTACACTGCACCAGCAGAGACAGAATGATAATATATACAAGTCAAAATTAACTCAGCAAATTAATTTAACCACATAGAAGAACTGACAGAGACTAACATGTTATCAGGCCTGACACTTAATCTCTCATGAACTTGCATCTTTGAATGTCTTTTTTTTTTTTTTGCACTACTGCGTAAGACAAAGCAATCTTGCTTGATCTGCAATTAGTACATGAAATGCATGTAGAACTTGGAGTAAGAGGCAACAGCAGGTACACAGATAACTTTTAAACATTTCACAATATGTCCAACATAGAAATTAATGGTCTGTAAACATTGCCATTGATTATTCCTCAACCTGCTCCTCAGATATGAATTAATCCCCATGGATGCTCTGAAGAAAAATGCTTAAGTGCTAAGGGGGGGAAAGCCCACACAATTTAAAGCCAGATAATGTTATGGTTTATAAAACCAGGAGGTCTGTATCAATGGGTATTGAGGATATTTTAAAAGGAAGGTTGTATAAAAGCAAACTGACATTGCTGAATTTAAACAAGGTTATTTAAAAGCTATTTTGGACAATTACCACTGCTACTCATTTTTAAGGTGAAGCTGGCAAATGTTAGACAGCCTTCTGTGGCAAACAGGATAGTGCCAAGAAGCAGCAATAATAGTCAGATTGTTCATGACACATATCTGAAACCAACCCTTTTCAAAATGGAGCAACATGCATTGTGCTAATTCCAGTTATAACTTCCAGCTGTGTCAATGCCTGAAGAATCTAAAAGCAGGAAATCCAAGAGGAAATTCCATCGTCAGTTCCCGGAGTTTTGTAACCCGAATGTTCTTCCAAAAAGGAGATCTTACAGGAATCTGAGTGTGTTTGCTACAAACCTTACCTCATGTCTTCAAGTAAGTCACATTCTGCCTGATGTTTGGCTTGAAGCTTTGTCATCTGTTCAGAGTGAATGAGTTTTAGCTCTTGAGTAATTTTCACCTGAAAAAAAACATACACCAAAAAAGGTGTAATTTTAACATGCAATATATTCTCTCAAACGCTGTCACAATGGCAATTACACAACGTTTATACCAGAATTAGCTTTGGGAAATGTGGCTTTAAAAAAAAAAAAACTTTGCAGTTCCACTAAACTAGGCTATTAATCAAGTTCTAACACAGACTTCTACCAATCTACATGCCACATCCCACTCTTAGACATTAAGATGCCCTAACAGCACATGTATTCCTCCCCTCATATTCTCAGTGAACACCAGTGATCCCAAGGTTTCCTGCTATGCTGAGCTTTGCCTTAGGCAGACCAAAGGTTAGCATAGAGAGCTTCACATCCTCTCTCTTTCCCACATGCAAAGGAAGAACAGGGAAAAGCCCTCTCTTGCACAAAGCTTTGGAGAAAATATGGGTCCCTCACACTTCTTCTACATACTTCCAAGTCCAGTGTTAAAACAAGGTATCACTCATCTTTCTCCTGTACCATCTTTTTGGTCCATTGCCAGATAAGGGGTGTGTGTTGCATGATTACACAATTTTGAAGGCAGAAGTGGTTCTACCTGCCCTTGAGCTACATAAGAGCTCTTTCCTCTCCCTCCTACAAATCAACTGGCATATATACACCACAGAGGCAAACACATGCAATGTTTACTGGGGAGGCACACAAAAAGCTATACTTAATCTAGTCGTATCTAATCGCACAACTAATAAAGTTTAGTCTGTCAATTAAAGGAACTAACACCCATAACTTTCCACATCTAAACTACTATCTACCAAAGTGCACACATTTCAGATAAGCCATCAGAACGGAAACCTATACAGTACCAAAAAAAGTTCCTTAATTTTAAATGGCTGCCACAAGCAATGTTTCCAGCCAAAGAAGTATTAAGCCTTCACCTCTGATTTACTGAAATTTCAGCTTACAGTCAGATCACAATGCATCGTAGGAAGTCATCTCAGTAAAACACAAGGTGTGGGTCCAAAAACAGAAATTCCAAACATCAAATAATCCCAAAGTTCAGAAGAGAGACTTGGTCTTATCTGAGAGACTCAAAACTATTTTTAAAATGAAGATACTATTATGGTAACTATAGCTTATTCATGTCTGTTCTACCTGAAATCTGTTCTGGCAATTAAAGCAATAGTTTCTGGATACTGTGCCCATTATGCGAACTCAACCCTGTAGACCCACAACACCATGCTATCAAGCTATATTCACTTCTTGAACACATTAAGAGTTGGGCTGTAGACATTCAGCTTTACACTACCGGAAACAAAGATGGCAAATATTGAAAGAAAGAGATGAAGAGAGAAATGCTCCAACACTAGACCTGTTTATTGGTGCCATGTAATGTTCCAAAACTAGGCATGTTTATTGATGCAAAATGGCACCAATAATCATACTATAGCGCTACAAGAAATTCATCAAACAACAATCTTTAAAATGTAATAATCTGGAGGGATAGTCCAACAGATTCAAATGGCAATTCTTAACAGTTTCACCATAAAAAACTGTATCTTCCGTATATAGCAGCCCAGTATGACTCTGTATCTGGACACTACGGTCTTGAGGTCAGGGTCTTCCAAGCTATGGTAAGCAGCATAACCCAAAAAATCCCTACAGACATGAACATTCTTCCTTTTTTGTCATAACTATAGGGTGTGGGGAGGAATCTAACTGTTTCTGCTATTATAAAGGGGGAAGCATGTGGACAGAAGAGAGAGGAACAAGGCTGAGGCAGAGCTCCCCTCCAGCAGAGCAAAAGCAATCCTCTTTAAGCACTTAACATAAACCCTCCTACCTCTCTTCTCACAATGCCAAGTCTGAAAATACTCCCCCAGTAAGAAAAAATGTCCCAGTCCTTGGATTGCAAGAGGAGACAGATAGTTCTGCTCAGATCTTGGGGGGGGGGGAGCAAGCACACACGTGCACATGCGCACACACACACCCCATTTAAATCTTCCATCAAGCTAGTCTAAATTGAAAAGTCAGACATACAGTACTTGAATTTTATTTGAACTGCAAGAAAACAGATTCATCAAGCCTAACCCATCCTATGGAATGGAGATAATATCTCCACGTGAAATCAAAGCACAGTTCACCATGCATAAACATGCTTGCAATATAAAACAAGCTTTGTGCAAACTAAAAATGGCCTTTAACATAAATATAATCCCCTTGTTCTGGCTGAGCCCACCCCTGAAAACAACAGACTGGCAGATAAAAGCATGCTAAGCCCCTCCCTCAAACATAACAGATCCACCAGGCAACTCAGCCTTTTGTTTACACAACCAAGCACCCCTTCCCCTTCCTACCCCAGGTCTCAGCACTTTTCTAATATAACCCACCATTTATTTATTTCCTATAAATATGCATATCACACACACACATACAAGGATATCAATAACAGGCTTGCTCCTTTACATAGTACAAGAAAATAAACTTGATAGCCCAGTATAGCATATTCACAACCAAAGCACTACAATCCATCTTCTAACTTTAACCAAGATGAGAAAATTCAACTCTGTTCATCACAACGCCCTGAAGTCACAAAGATGACCATTTATTTCCTCTTCTGTACCACAGGCACTCATTTCTCAGACAAAACCTTCCCTGTAGTTCTCGTTCCACACACTCACACCCCAGCTCCTTTCCATGAATACAGACGTACGATAAATGTCTCACACACCCTTGTAGGCTGCACTGCCATATTTATTTTTCATTTATTTATTTAATGTATTTTTACCCGCCTTCCTCCTAATAGGACCCAAGGTGGACCCAATGAAACACAAGAAAGGAAACTTTCTATTATTGTGTTATCTCAATCTGGTGTAACTCTTGAATCAATCTGCACCATGTATGGAGCCAGCTGAAATGGATTGATCCATTTAGTCCCCTACGATGATCAACAGGAGGAGTGGCTGTGTGAGGCATGTTACTTAGCGCTTTCAACACCTAAACGCTATTCCTCTTTTCTCCAATTTGCTCAATGCAAAAGAGACTGTGGTGCAAAAGTCATCACCCCCGTGAGTTTCATGGCAATCTGAGTCCGGTGTCACACCACCCACCACCCAAATCAACCACCATCATCACCTCTGCAACTAAGCTCCTTCCCAACCTTGCCAGAGGCATCTCTTAGTCCCCTGCATGGCGTCTCCAAAATCACTGCATGCAACCTTATGCCACAGATGCTCTCTCTCCCTTTTTCAGTGGCCTCAAACGGCTGCTACACCTAGCCTTACACCTAGCCCTGTCGGCGCTGTATCAGTGTACTGCAACCTGCCTCCATGCACTGTCTCCTGGAACAGGCTACCAACACCCTGACCCCCCAAAATCCGCTCATGGTGCCGATGCATAGCCTCAGGCCATGTTCGCTCTGCCAACACACCTCGGTGTCCTTCCTATTCATCCTCCATCCAGTCAGGTCCTCAAAACTGGAAAATCACAACCACATCAACTGCATACCCTTCCCCTCCACCCATGCAGACATACAGTACCTGCACCCTCTTCTCTTTTTTTAACACATACTGTGACTGGCTGTCAACCCCCCCACCCCCCCAATCTGTCTCCGATCCTCAGAACTCTTGTGGCCCCCCCCAAAGCACTACATCCCCCTC